TTGATAGGCTGCTAGCAACATTAATGAAGAAGAAAAGAGAGAAGAATCAAATAGACACAATAAAAAATGATAAAGGGGTTATCACCACAGATCCCACAGAAATAAAAACTACCATCAGGGAATACTATAAACACCTCCATGCAAATAAACTAGAAAATCTAGAAGAAATGGATAAATTCCTGGACACATACACCCTCCCAAGACTAAACAAGGAAGAAGTTGAATCCCTGAATAGACCAATAACAGGCTCTGAAATTGAGGCAATAATTAATAGCTTATCAATCAAAAAAAGTCCAGGACCAGACGGATTCACAGCCGAATTCTAACAGAGGTATAAGGAGGAGCTGGTACCATTCCTTCTGAAACTATTGCAATTGATGGAGAAAGAGGGAATCCTACCTAACTCATTTTATGAGGCCAGCATCATCCTGATACCAAAGCCTGGCAGAGACACAACAAAAAAAGATTTTAGACCAATATCCCTGATGAACATCAGTACAAAAATCCTCAATAAAATACTGGCAAACCAAATCCAGCAGCACATCAAAAAGCATATCCACCATGATCAAGTGGGCCTCATCGCTGGAATGCAAGGCTGGTTCAACTCATGCAAGTCAATAAACGTAATCCAGCATATAAACAGAACCAAAGACAAAAATTACATGATTATCTCAATAGATGCAGAAAAGGCCTTTGACAAAATTCAACCGCCCTTTATGCTAAACACTCTAAATAAACTAGGTATTGATAGGGCGTATCTCAAAATAATACGAGCTATTTATGACAAACTCACAGCCAATATCATACTGAATGGGCAAAAACTGGAAGCAATCCCTTTGAAACTGGCACAAGACAGGGATACCCTCTCTCACCACTCCTATTCAACATAGTGTTGGAAGTTCTGGCCAGTGAAATCAGGCAGGAGAAAGAAATAAAGGGTGTTCAATTAGGGAAAGAGGAAGTCAAATTTTCCGTGTGTGCTGATGTGCAGATGACATGATTTTATATTTAGGAAACTGCTTCATCTCAACCCAAAATCTCCTTAAGCTGATAAGCAACTTCAACAAAGTCTCAGGATACAAAATCAATGTACAAAAATCACAAGCATTCCTATACACCAATAACAGACAAACAGCCAAATGATAAGTGAGCTCCCATTCACAATTGCTTCAAAGAGAATAAAATACCTAGGAATCCAACTTACAAGGGATGTGAAGGACCTCTTCAAGGAGAACTACAAACCACTGCTCAACGAAATAAGAGAGAACACAAACAAATGGAAGAATATTCCATGCTCATGGAAAGGAAGAATCAATATTGTAAAAATGGCCATACTGCCCAAGGTAATTTATAGGTTCAATGCCATCACCATCAAGCTAACAATGACTTTCTTCACAGACTTGGAAAAAACTACTTTAAAGTTCATATGGAACCAAAAAAGAGCCCACATTGCCAAGACAATCCTAGACCAAAAGAACAAAGCTGGAGGCATCACACTACCTGACTTCAAACTATACTACAAGGCTGTAGTAACCAGAACAGCATTGTACTGGGTACCAAAACAGAGATATAGACCAATGGAACAGAACAGAGTCCTCAGAAATAATACCACACATCTACAACCATCTGATCTTTGACAAGCCTGACAAAAACAAGAAATGGGGAAAGATTCCCTATTTAAAATGGTGCTGGGAAAACTGGCTAGCCATAAGTAGAAAGCTGCAACTGGATCTCTTCCTTACACCTTATACGAAAGCTAATCAAGATGGATTAAAGACTTAAATGTTAGATCTAAAACCATAAAAACCCTAGAAGAAAACCTAGGCAATACCACTCAGGACATAGGTATGGGCAAGAACTTCATATCTAAAACACCAAAAGCAATGGCAACAAAAGCCAAAATTGACAAATGGGACGTAATTAAATGAAAGAACTTCTGCACATCAAAGGAAACTACCATCGGAGTGAACAGACAACCTACAGAATGGGAGAAAAATTTTGTAATCTTTCCATCTGACAAAGGGCTAGTATCCAGAATCTACAAAGAACTTAAACAAATTTACAAGAAAAAATCACACAACCCCATCAAATAGTGGGCAAAGCATATGAACAGACACTTCTCAAAAGAAGACATTTATGCAGCCAACAGTCATATAGAAAAATGCTCATCATCACTGGTCATCAGAGAAATGCAAGTCAGAACCACAATGAGATACCATCTCACACCAGTTAGAATAGCAATCATTAAAAAGTCAGGAAACAACATGTGTTGGAGAGGATGTGGAGAAATAGGAGCACTTTTACACTGTTGGTGGGACTGTAAACTGGTTCAACCATTGTGGAAAACAGTGTGGTGATTCCTCAAGGAGCTAGAACTAGAAATAGCATTTGACCCAGCTATCCCATTACTGGGTATATACCCAAAGGATTATAAACCATGCTGCTATAAAGACGTATGCACACGCATGTTTATTGCAGCACTATTCACAATAGCAAAGACTTGTAACCAACCCAAATGTCCATCAATGATAGACTGGGTTAAGAAAATGTGGCACATACACACAATGGAATACTATGCAGCCGTAAAAAAGGATGAGTTCACGTTCTTTGTAGGGACATGAATGAAGCTAGAAACCATCATTCTCAGCAAACTATTGCAAGGACAGAAAACTGAACACTGTATGTTCACACGCATAGGTGGGAATGGAACAATAAGAACTCTTGGACACCAGACAGGGAACATCACACACCAGGGCCTGTCATGGGGTGAGGGGACGTGGGAGGGATAGCATTAGGAGTATACCTAATGTAAATGACGAGTTAATGGGTGAAGCCCAACATGACACATGTAAACATATGTAACAAACCTGCACGTTGTGCACATGTACCCTAGAACTTAAAGTATTATACAAAAAAAAAATAATAATAAATCTAAGGCTCTGTTCTGTTTTGTATTGCATTTTCAGACATTTTTAACCCTTGGTGGGATCCAATTTGCTTCACATTATAATAGAACTTTGGTGTGTAATAACTACATAGGAAATATGCTTTGGGGAATAGCTAATGGCAGTTGAAAGTGAATATTTGGCTTTTCACATGTTTGGATCAGAGGAGCATGCTCTTGGCCACCTAGAAGGTATGGCAATGTCCCCATCCCTGCCCCACACTGAGACCTAAGACTCCCATGGAAGATGGGATAATCAGAGAATAGGTTGAGTGGCCTTGAATTGCTTTGCAATGAAATGCACATTAAAATCATTGCACTGTCTTGTTCTGTAGCATTTCTTTTTTTGGGATTTAAGATATGATATAAAAATGGGACCCTTAAATTTGGGGGATCTGTTTTGCTTTCCAGCTGTGCCTGTTTATTAAGCCATAAAAATTGCATGTTTTCCTGGCCTTGTTCCTCCATGGGCTCCACCCTGAAGCAGTAATCTGATTAAGAACCTGGCAAATAAAAAATATTAAAACTACTAGAACTTCTTTTGTCTATGTATTTATATGTGTTGTGTGTGTGTGTGTGTGTGTGTGATATGAAAGATCTTTGTTTTTAAAATCTTAAGAGCTTAAATCAAATATTCTATCAGAGAATAAAAATGAATGCCTTTTAGTTCATGTGACCTTAGTAAAGGTTCACAAATAAAAACAGTTTTGTGGATCATTGGTAAAATACAAATGTCTTTGAAATTTAGACATTTGGTCTGAAGTAGGTTAAATATTAAATTTGCTAAATGTGTTAGGGTCATAAACTGCTTCTTTGATTTTTGAAAATTGTTCAACTTAGTTACTTTGAAGCAGATTCTAGGTAAAGCCTGGTGATATGTGGTGTTAGCCATGCCCCGTAGTTATGCTGGAAGGTCAAACCTTATCTGCACTTCTTTCTGTGTCCTAGTCTCCAAAGGTAGTACATAATTAAAATCACATACAATCCAGGTTTTCCCACCAAAGGTTCCTAAGTGTTCCTTCTTTAGGCCATATTTGTGTGAATATGTTTTTCGTAGGTGTTCCAAAAGTATTAGAAACTTCTGTAACTCTGATATAACTTAGTGTATGCTATTAATATTTATTATAATTGTTATGTAAAATTGTTGTATGCCACATAAGTCACCAAAATTCTTAGTCAATTGTGGCTGTAATAGAGCCTGCCCTAAAGTGTTTTGTCATCCACTGATAATTGTTGCCTTGTTTTGTTTTTGTTTTTGTTTTTTGTTTTGTTTGTTTTTTTCTTTAGAGATGGTTTTGTAATCAGCTACAGAACTCTAACAGGTGTTCTTAAATGCAGGTTTCTGATAAATTTGGAGATTGTGACATTAGACTAGAAGAAAAAGCTTCCAGGATCTCCTGGAGTGCTGAAATGTTCATGAATATCAGGCAGAACAGGAGTTAACAACATGGACGGAACTAATAGAAGACTAAAGCTATCTTTTTGACTTTTTGCTTAAAAGGATCCTTTGTTTTGTTTTTCAGAGCCAATAAAACTTTTCTTTTGAGCGACTTACATCTTTTAACAATTAAGTAAAATATACTCCGGTGAACAAAATTTGGAGCATATTTGTTTCTCTCTACCTGATTTCTCCAGAATTTTGAAACTATTTGTGAGTATTCTTAACTAATGACAATATAGTTATTTGCATAAGTGCAATAAGCATGTTTTCTTTTTTAACAGGACAAAATAAAAGAAACCAGTTATTTTACCAAGGCTTTAACTGGAATGGCATGCTTTCCTTTAAGGAATCAAATTTGACATATAGGGCCATTAAAAGCCCCTTGGGAAAACTGGCCTCATACTTTCTCTACACAGTTCTGTACAGGGTCCCTGACCTGTAGTAAGTAAATAATGTCACTTTCTAACAGGCCCAGGAGCCCTAGGTTATCTTGGGTCCTCAAAAAAAGAGGAATTTACCTAACTGATAAGTATTTGATAGTACAAATCTATGGCTAGGCTTGGCTTTGAAAAAAGCCTTATCTGAGATTCCTTTTATGGAACAAAGTGCAATCAAAGCCAATTTAAAAAACCTATGTGAAAAATGATTATTTTTGCTGTACTTTACACAAATAATCAGGCTAAGTATAAGACTGTGGCTTAGTTTTGCAAACAAAATAGTCCTATTAGGATTTGTCTTTAGTAAAAATGGGAGAATAGAGAGATAAAAAAACACGTTTTAGTAACAATGGTACACTTGTTATAAAACTGTGATCTCCAGTTGTTTTTGAGGGTTTTTTTTTTTTTTTTTGTACAATTTAGACTGAACCTGCTATTTATGTGAACCAACCAGTGATCTCTTATGGCTGTTCAAAAGTAACAAGAGAGATGGGTAATGTAAAAAATCTAGATCAGTATTCTAATTCTGAGCACATATTGGAATGTATAGCATGTGTAGCAACTCCATATCACTTTGGTTCCAAAGTTTCCCAGTTCATGAAAAGCCTTCTTATTTAGTTTACTTGGGATAATTTTACTTAGTTTGTTTTACTATTGTGAAATATAATGCTGTCATACTCTTTGTGTAGGAATGCAAGATAAGCTTACTGAATGTATTCTTAAATTGAACACTTATTATCTTCCAGATATCACCTTTTGTCATAACTCAATAGTTATTAATGGCCCTCACCATACTGATGCTTTTTGACTGAGCTCTTCTCTAACCTGAATGCAAGAGATGCAATAGTTAGGCAGGAATATTATCCTCCCTGTTCAGCCTGAAGAAGTTACAGAAGATGAATCTTCCTCTCTCTACAGCCCTTAGGATTAAGAGTTTTCTTATAAAAGGGAGGAGGGAAATATGTCAGAGCATTTGAACGAGAGAAACTCCATCTTGAATAGGCACTGTGTAAAATAAGACTGACACCTACTGGGATGCATTCCCAGGAGGTTAGGCATTCTAATTCGTAGGATGAGATAGGTCTCCACAAGATACAGATTATAAAGACTTGGCTGATAAAACCAGTCTTGATAAAGAAGCTGACCAAAACACACCAAAACCAAGATACCAACAAAAGTGGTTGTCCTCTGGTTGTCCTCACTGCTTATTATTTGCTAAGTGTAGTGCATTAGCATGCAAAAAGACACTCCCACCAGTGCAGTGACAATTTACAAATGCCTTGGCAACATCAAGAAGTCACCCTATATGGTTTAAAAATGGTAGGAACCCTCAGTTCTGGGAGTTGCCCACCCCTTTTCTGGAAAACTCATGAATAATCCACCCATTACTTAGCATATAATCAAGAAATAACTGGAATTATCCTTAGTGAAGCAGCCCAAGTCGCTGCTCTTCCTATGGAGGATACATTCTTTCATTAGTTAACTTTGTTAATAAACTTGCTTCACTTTATGGATTCACCTCAAATTATTTCTTGCGTGAGATCCAAGAACCCTTTCTTGGGGTCTGAATCTGGACTCCTTTACAGTAACAATGAGATTTAAAAGTATATTTTAAGGGGCTCAATGGTTAAAAGTCAGCTTAATTAAAAGCTAACATACAAGATGTTTGCGTGTGTGTGTGTGTGTGTGCGTGTACATGTGCATGTGTGTGTATGTTTGCATTAAAAGGCCTTATGTTTTATTTTCTCTCCTAAGACCTTGTCTTCTCTGAGCATAAGTTTATTATTTTTATCTCAGTTTATTGAATTTCATTGTCTTCATTTAGTTCTGCAGTCTCTCCTTTCTCTTGCCTCCCTCTGCTGCATGAGGGACCTAAAACAGCTTATAATAACCCGGGATTCACTGAAGAAAACAGAAAAGGCACCAGACTCCTTTCTGGGGAAAAATCTGTTTTTCTTTATGGAACTCCAAGAGTGGGTAAAGAGAAAAGTTTGTCTCAGATCATAAAGTACTTGCTTTTGCACTGTGTTACCAGATTTTTTGACTAAAATAGTTATTATGATGGAGGCTATTCTTGGGTATTTAAGCAAGAGGATAGTTTAGACACTTAGAACGGTCTTTGTAAATTTTTTTTAAAGTACCCTGTAAAAGCATCATGTGGTCTAGCCTCATAATAATTCTCCCTGTCTGGAGACCCAGCATTCAGTGTGGGCCCTGTCCAGAGCTCACAGATCCAGTTAAAAGATAGGTAGTCTCTATCTAAATACAACTGGTCTCCCCTTACAGTCCTATGACAGATTTCTATAATTTTTATTTGGCATCCATTTTTAATCTCCCTCTAGTACCAGACTATTTCTCTCTGTACTATGAAATGTAAATGTCACTACCTTATTTTTTTAACCTAAGATTTCCTTTAATATGAAAATTTAGGACTATCTAGCAGACAATTGCCTAGGGTAATAAAATAGGTTATCCAGACTGTGTAACACCTCCCCAGTGCCAGGCAGCACAGCTCAGGAATAAAATTTTTCCACTTTAGAAAATGAGAGGGAAGAGTACTGAGAAATTCATCTTGCAACTTGGGTACCATTTTAGTCACATTGAAATAAAGCACCAAGGAGATTACTGAAGCTCCAGGTTCCAGGCCTTAGCTACTGGACGGCATTTCTAGACACACGCTGGACCAAAAGAAAATCCACCGTTCTGAAAGAAATTAAGATAAAAAAAAAAAACAAAAAACTTAGTTCTAACAGAGTTCACCACATTCTGATATAAGAGCTTTTGGGCCTTGAAGAACCATAAGCAGTAGCCAGGCAGTAATTACCATGAGCCTTGGGTGCAATCCAACAGTGTACTGGCTTCAAGTGCCATCCAGTGCAGTGCTACCTGTGGTGGCCATGGAATTGCTTGTGTCACTCATCCAAAAACTTCAGGCAGCCCATCATGGAGAGACAGGGTGGGGGAGATATATATATATATATATATATATATATATATATATATATATATAGAGAGAGAGAGAGAGAGAGAGAGAGAGAGAGAGAGAGAGAGAGAGAGACTCCTTTTGATTAGGAGAAAGATTAGGAGAAAGAGAGGGAAGAGAGTGAGAGAATTTTTCTGGTGACCCAGGAAATTTTCCCTTGACTTAACCAACATCACCAACGTGGCAACTCAAGGAGTCAGCAAGAGTTGTGCTGTTACTACTGAATTTAGAACTTAGTGTGCCTTACAATCCTGATATGGCTGCAGTGACCACAAAGTTAAATTACAACACTAAATACCCTTTGAATATGTAAACAGCCTTCTCGAGAAGTATAAGATTAGAGTACATATCTAACTCTGCAATGAGCGGACACTGAAAAATATTCACAAGCATCAAGAGCATACAGAAAAACATGACCTCACCAAATGAACTAAATAAGGCACCAGTGACCAACTATGAAGCGTCAGATATATGTGACCATTCAGACAGATAATTCAAAATACCTGCCTTGATGAAGCTCAACAAACGTTAAGATAACACAGATAATACATTCACAATTTTATTAGATAAATTGTAAAAAGAGATTGAGAAATTGAAAAATCTAGCAGAAATGCTGGAGCTGAAAATTTCAATTAATATACTGAAAAAATGCATTAGACCCTAGCAACAGCAGAAATGATAAAGCAGAAAAAAATAGTAAGTTTAGAGACAGACTATATGAAAATACACAGTGAGAAGACAAAAAACAATGTAAAAATTAAAGCATGACTAAGAGATATAGAAAGTATTTGCAAAGGGGCAAATCTAAGAGTTCTTAGCCTTGAACAAGATGTAGAGGGAAAGAGGATAAAGTTTATTCGAAGATATGGTAACAGACAATTCTCCAAACCTAAAGAATGATAGGAATACCGAGGTACAAGAAGGTCCTAGAACATCAAGTGGATTTAAACCAAATGAAACATCTACAGGCTTTTAATAAATTCTCAAAAGTCAAGGATAAAGAGAGGATACTAGAAGCACCAAGAAAAAAATAAACAAATAGCACATAAAGGAGCTCTAATATGTATGTCAGCAGATTTCTCAGCAGAATTCTTATGGGCCAAGGGAGAGTGAAATAGCATATCCAAAATGCTGAAGAAAAACAAATTGCAACATGGAATATCGTATTCAGCAAAATTATCCTTCAACTATGAAGAAGAAATAAACACTTTTCCAGACAAATAAAAGCTGAGATCATGTCTACATCCGACTTGTCCTACAAGAAATGGTAAAGAGAGTTCTTCAATCAGAAAGAAAAGGCAGTTACAAAATGACAAATTATCTGAAGATATAAAACCTGTCAGTAATAGCAAATACACAGAAAAGTACACAATACTATAACACTGCAATTGCAGTGTCTTAACCACTCATATATTTAGCAGGAAGACTAAAAATACTGCCAAAAGTGATAACGACAAAAACTTTTCAGTAGACAGACAAAGTCATAAATCAGAGGAAATGAAGTTAAAGTGTAGAATGTTTCCATAGTTTTCTCTTTTTTTAAAAATTAATTTATTATTATTATTATACTTTAAGTTCTAGGGTACATGTGCATAACGTGCAGGTTTGTTACATATGTATACCTGTGCCATGTTGGTGTGCTGCACCCATCGACTCGTCAGCACCCATCAACTCGTCATTTACATCAGGTATAAGTCCCAATGCAATCCCTCCCCCCTCCCCATGATAGGCCCCGGTGTGTGATGTTCCCCTTCCCGAGTCCAAGTGATCTCATTGTTCAGTTCCCACCTATGAGTGAGAACATGCTTATTTATTTGTTTTGCTCTTTTTGGTAATGAGAGTGGTCATCAGTTTAAAAATTGGTTATATTATTTGTCAGCTTCATGGTAACCACAAACAAACCCCTATAATATATATATATATATAAAAATATTGAAAATCAAGAAATCAAAAAAGCTACTAGATAAAATCCTTTTTTACACAAAGGAAGACAAGAAAAAAGAGAACACCACTGACAACAATAACAACAACAAAAAAGAAAACCAAAAATGTAAAAAAGTGGCAGTACTACTCTTTACTAATGAATAATAAGATTAAATTTAAATACATTAAATTATTCAGTAAAACTCATAGAACAGCTGAATGGATAAAAAACAAGATTCAGCTATATGCAGCCTACAAGAAAGTGGCTATACCTGTGAAGATATTCATAGATTAAAAATAGAGGAATAGAAAAAGTTATTCCATGGAAATCAGAATCAACACTGGGAGTAGTACACTTACATCAGGTAAAAGAGATTTCAAGAGAAAAACTACACAAAGAGACAAAGAAGATCATTACATGATGATAAAGTGGTCAAATCAAAAAGAGAATATAATCATTGTACGGAACCCAAATATATGAAGAAAATACTATTAAAGATAAAGAGAGAGACAATGGTAACAGGAAACCTAAACACATCAGTTTAATCATTGCACAGATCAACCAGACAGAAACTCAACAAAGAAAG